TTGTTTTTTAACTATGCATTTTTATACTTTGTAAAGGAGTATATTGGTTTTGTTCAATGCTCTCTTCTACTTTTCCGTAAAACTGCAAATTATTTCGCCGGTATTAAATCTAGTGATTTAAACTTTGTACAATCGTGGGTTCGCTTATAAGATAAAAATAAAGATGAAATTAAAAATCAAAAATACTTGAAATTTGGAATATATACAGCATATATATCTTCAGCCATTAGAGCTGGAATGTCAAAATATACTGATAAGATGCTTCACATATGATCGATAATTATATATCCGCCTCTAGGGGGCAGTAACTTATCGGATCTGACATATATAGTGTGTTAGACAAATTTTGTTATGTTTTAAACACTCATGGTGTTAGAGACATTTGGAATATATACTCAGGTTGACAACCCGCATCTATATATTCTTAAAAATCAAAGCTGGAAACTCAACATATCGAATACAATTTGTTCGCCCCTTTGGGTGCGTGACATATAGAAAATAACCGGTATTACGTAACATTCATACTTGTTTTTTGTGTTTACTTTATGTAACTCATTGTCCCGCTTTTGCATTCAGCCCTTGCTCTCTACTTTTACTCAGCAGTTCAACTAATTACAGTGTTTAGTAGTGGCTTACATACACATTAAAAATTAGAATCTTTTCGAAATGCATTTGTGTTCAATTTAATTGAGACTCCCCAATAACAATTTTTTATTCAACTTTGCCCCGCATTTTGATTCCTTAAGAATGTATGCATTATAAACAAGTAATGTTTTCCTATCGAGACTGCTGGACTAGGAGCTACCCTCACGCATGCATAATCATGCGTTCTGCTTAATGCATGGTTCACGCAGCGACTGCGCTTGAATAATTTTTGAAAACAGTTTTTTTTTACAAATTTGTGGTGAAGAGAGGGAGATTTCCGAATCCAAAATATACAAAATGGAAATAGGATGACTCGTCGAAACAAATTATAAACTCATACTGCGTATGATATACAAAAATATATATTTTAAATTTCTCAACATTCATACGCATGGACAGACGAACATGGCTAGGTCGACTCGGCTTGCCGTCCTAATCCAGAACACATATACTTTCTAGGGTCTGCTACGGCCCCTTCTGCCTCTTACAAAACTATTATACTATTCCCATTTTCAATGGGTACAAAATAAAAAAATGATGATGAAAATTATAGTTTAGACCGAACGTAAGAGTAGCGTATTAAATTCAATTATATTATTTAATTACAGAATATTTCAATTATTGTCACGTCAAATATTTTTATAATTTTCCACATGCAATTTAAAATATATAGTAATGTACACATCGACTAGCTAAGTAAGATCCGCTCTTTATGATATACTCCTTAGTTTGTATCTTCCAAAAATGTTAAATTGACACAAGTAAGAACTTTACAGTCGCTGGCAAATACATAACTTTTGATAAATATAAATAAATGCAGCTCAAATGTGCCCACAAAACACTATACGAACGTGACGTTGACTTGAATTCATGCAAATGCTTTGCAAATAATACAATAATAATAATACAGTAACATACATTTAATATATAGATATATAGATGTTTTGACCGTAAAAAAAAAGGACGTGTTCATTGATTGAATACCGCAATTTAACAATTCAATTATGTTGATACCCTGAACCCAATGAATGTGGGAAATAAGATCATAATGTATAAAAAAGTATAAATATTCTTAAACAGGACGACGAGCTGAATTGTCCGTCTATACATATGTATGATCGTGTCAATCTCAGAACCTATAGGAACTAGAGCAAAAACATTTTTTTTATGCTTCCCTATATACATATGTTTCAAATAACCGACAATTATACCTGTTTTAATATTGGAGATTATATTTCGTACGTCTTTGGAGCTACAGTATCCAAATTTTGCAGTTAGTTTCATGCTCACCTTATAGAATATTGTGTTTGATAACAATAAATTTACATTAAATTACAATATAGACAATATGTGAAAGAGTTTCCATTTTTACTAAACTAACAATTATTCCAATGTAGATCATGAAAATGTAATTAAAGTCCGTTAAATAATAATTTCCTACACATACATTCAAATTCGTGAATTTTTTTCTACTCAAATAATACAATATACAATACCATATATTTCGTACAATTTTGATATTTGTTCTTAATTGGATACCGGCTCCAAATGTACCCTAATTCTTTAAATTTAAGTTCAGTTGAAAAGAGAGCTAATATGTGAACAAGTTTGCATTTTTACTAAGCTGACAATTACTCCAATAGAATATTTAGACGCAAGCGGACACATTTTTACATGTGTATTCTTCTCTATTTGAAGAATGGAAATTGCGATTGAATTGTGAATTGTCAAATGCTGCTTAAGTTCAGATTTGCTATTTATCGTAACAGAAATGTGGTAGCGGTGTTGGTAGAGGAGGCGCTCGTTGTCGGGAAGTTCTGGGTTCTCAAGCGGGGATCCCTTTTTATTATTATTTTAAGTGTTGATAGAGTTGATGCGCATTGCGTAGGCAATATTGGTTCGAACCTTGGTGTCGTAGTGTCAGTTTTTTATTTGTTGTTTTTTTAATACTCAATACAAACCATTGAAAATATTAAAAAACTTAGAAAGGACTGGGATTAGAGTATCTCCTAGTCGGGTACACCGACTAAAGCTATCTTACTTGTTTTTAAAGCTACATACAAACTATGGACAATATTTAGGAAGTCTCCTAATCGGGACCCCGACTTTACCTTTTTTACTTGTTTTTATTTTCTCAGCTAGAAGTGACGGTGCTGAGGTGAACTGTTCGTTTGATTTCTGGTACCCTAGTTGATTACTCCCGAATAGAGCTTAAGTTTTTTACACTCATTTTATTTCATTCAGAAGTTTCAAGTTCACGTTTTTTTTTATTGTCAGTCGATCGAGTTGCTTCCAGATTTTGCAATCAATTTCATTCAATTAATCGTTTTTGGGCATTGTATTTATTAATAGGGGTCATCATTGCATAAATATTTCTATATGCTAAGGAGATACATCACCCTATAGATAAATAGAGGTAGGTTGAGCTGTCAATATGCTGCATACTTTTCCGCCAAGGCCCTTATTAAAGTCATAAATACAACGAAAGATGGCTTAACGCTTTTATTAATACAACTGTTTTGAGTTTAGAGATGTCGTTTGAACACCCCATTTAAGAGTATTGGTGATTTATAAGGCCTCTTCAACATAAAATGTATCAAGATTGTACTGAGTCGGCCCAGCAGCAGTGTCCAATTTATGCCTACATGATTAAATCGACTCTGCTTATTATTTGATCAAGAATATATGTACTTTATGGAGCTTTCCACTCCTCATGTTACATACATTTTCACAAAACTATTATACCCTGTTTTCTCATTTTCAATGGGCTCATGGTATAAAAAAACAAGTATATGTATATGAATATATTTATATATATATGTATATATATATATATATATATATATATATATACACATCTGGCAGAATATTCAGAAATTTGTCAATTTGTATTGTCTGCACAAATGACGTCATGATCACTCGACCAGTGGCTGATCAGCTTGAATACTATATATATTTCTCTCAATTTGAATGCCAAAGAAGTAGCGCAATTTAATTGTGTGTATTTGTACACTATTTTGCCCAAAAGTGCTGATAAATGACAATTGGTTTTTATTGCAGTTGATGTGTCTCGAACAAACAGAGTGCATCTTCTAGACAACTGCACTATACACTGACATTGGACTTTGACATCTGCAACTTTTTGTTTTGTCTTTGATTCCTTGGCAGCTTTTCAATGCCGCACAATTGGACTACAGCCCGGCTAACAGATCAGAGAGTAGAAATAAGAAGTGTTCTCTCTCTCTATCTCAGTCTCTCTCTAGCTCTCACTGTTGCTCTGTACCTTGGTCCCTCAGCAACGCGTAGTGAACAGCTGTTCGGATTGGAAGATTCATTCATTCGTTTGCTGCTCCCACTATGATGCATTGCTTAGATATTTGGGAGGAAAGGCAGACTCGATGTCTGCACATGAATAGTGAACGTGATAAAGTTCGAATACTGAGTATATTGTACTTAGCACTATCAATCTCTGCACTTTTTTACTACAGCTATAAATTAAATACTAACAATATCATATGAGAATTAAATTAAAATTTTTAGATTGTATATATTAATTTTAAAAAGTTAAATTTGTCAAGAATTTCTTAGAACTTATTCCTATTTATGTCAACTGATAGAATAAAATTATAGAAATTTTCAGTAAAAATAATAATAATAATACTGATTCTTTTATATTCGGGGCATTGCGTTGTCCTCAATAGCTACTTAATATGTCTCTTTATACAAATCTCCGAGAGAGAGAATTATGTCGGATTATATATATATATATATATATATATATAAAATAAAAATAAATAAAAGTTTACTTATTAAATTTCATGTATATTGTGTATTAAGATATATATATATATATATATATTAACCAAAGTTTAAATACCAATCTGAAGACTCCAGATTTTACGGTATTTAAGCTTTGGTTAATGACTGAATGCTCGAAAAAAAGATTAACTCTTGTTCCGTAAAGTATACATGAGTAGATATTTACAATTTGACGGATAGATGGACATGGCTTAATCGACTCAGTTTGTCGTCCCATTAAGGAATATATATATACTCTGTTTCATACCTGTTTACTTAACCATTTTATCCCTAAAACTTTCTAGAACTACATCCATAAAAACAGATATAAGCTCTTTTATTTCGTAAATACTGGAAACTGGTTAGGACTAAAGCACAAAAAGCAATCATTAATTCCCTTAACTGAAAGTAGAGTTGTGGTGGGAGTTCTTGGGCTGTTTAATTTTGATCTGCTTGAACTTTTTATTGACCTTACCGCATGTTTGCCTGCAGCCGACAAACTAAATCTTTAAAGCTTGAAACTAAAAGCTAAAAGTTGTTTTTGTGCGTTCTTTCAGATGGCGGAGCTGATGCATCAGATGCGTGATCCGGCGCACACGCTCGGTGGATCAGTGGGCAGCATACCCCAAACGTTGATTGCTGCAGCTGGTGGCAGCACCCATGGTTCACTGAATGGCATACATGCCACGCCGGCGACAAATTTAAAGATGAGCGAAGCGCTGCGCAATACCCAACATGATGCTAGTCCTAATCTAGCTAGCTCCCATATGAAATCATCAAAATCTTATACTCATGGGCTAAGCAACTCATCGGGTACTGTAAACATTCCTACGTCCACGTCGGCACAAAGCAATCTATCGCTGCTGGCAGATATTTCACCAAATCACACGCACTTTTTTGAGGTTATGTATGTAGGCAAGATACGCGTCTCGCAAAAACGCGTGCCCGACAACTTCATTGATGACGCTCTGCCCAAATTCAAAGCCTATGATGCGCAACGCTTGCGTATAATGCAAAATCGCAAGATGTCCTTGAATAGCGAAGGTGGCATTGGCATTGAGGCCAAGAGTGGAGGAGGTACAGTAAAAAGGCATGAGCTTAAGGAGGAGGACGAGGAGGAGCTAGAAGAACCGCCAAAACCACAGTTGGAACTTCAAATAACGGGCGTTGAAGTTGATGCCACACCACAACCATTGGATTCCATCTCCAGCAATAAGGAGAACAAATCGCCTGCGAAACGTACCTTGCAGCGCGGTCAAAGTCAAGTGGAGTTGGGCCAAAAACATGCGTAAGTGTACCCACATTAAACAATTCTTATTTGTAACTCCTTAACACATTATGCCCTGACCAATGACTGATTAAAAAATCTATAAAAAATGTAAGCAGGACGGTAAAGGATTCTAATCAGCCACACGAAGCGACCAATGATATTTTAAATAAACAACCCACGCAACCTAAGGAACAGGATGAGATTTCCGCCTTAGCAGCAGGGGCAACTGCAGGTGGCTCTAATCAGTTACATCCACACTATGCGTTGGAGAAGTAAGTGGTGCCGTAGCTCAAACACTGCACGCTTGTTGAGTTGGTTATTAAATGACCCTTTGCAAACATCGAATTCTGTTGCCTGATACTATTTTTTCGTGTTTGTTTTTTTTTGTTCTGGTTTTGCCTTGCATTTGCGCCCTTTTCATTAGCATGCCATGTTTACAAAATACTCATAAACTAATTAGCACTGCACTTGTCTAATTTTCTGCTTTAAATTAATTTTACAGCATGCCCAAGATGAGAGATCGTTCTGCTTCGCAGGGCTGTATACCACCCTATTCAGAGCAGAATCGTACGATGGTCTTTTTGGTTGGGCGCAGCGACTTGAGACTCATCTCGCCGGATCGCAAGCAGATGCTGCTCTATAAGGATTTCAAGGATGTGGTAGGCTGTGTGCACGGTCAGAAATCACTCGATCACTTCGGCGTCATCTGCCGTGAGCTGAACAGCGAGAGCTACATTGGTTACGTTTTTAAGTGCCAGTCAGAGCACGTATGTGATGACATCGTGGCGGCCATTGCCCAAGCTTTCGATACCTGCGCCGAACAGAAGAAGAAGCATGAGACACAGATCTTCAGTTGCGAGCATTGTCCGATGCTCTGGTATCATAAGCTCTGCACCGATGTGGAGGGTCTATCCGAAAAGAAAACGCAGACTGCAATCTGGCGTCACATTGCCACGCTGAGTGCGGATGAGTACGATATGGTGTGCGCCAAGTACTATGGTTCCGAGAAGACCAACTGCGCTATATCTGAACAAAATCAGTTTCTCATGATGCTGTTGCGCGCGCACTGCGAGTCGCGACAGCAACGACATGTGCACGATACTGCCGAGAATCGATCTGAATTTCTCAATCAGTATTTGGGCGGCAGCACCATCTTCATGAAGGCAAAACGCTCGTTAACAAACTCATTTGATAACCTACTCAAACGAAAGCCCTCCAAGGACGACATTTCCATCCCATCACACAATCTGCATGAAATACGGGAAGGATCTGCAGAGCCACTGGGCACTGAATCCTCGCTCTCGAGCTTTCGTTCACGCGCGAGTACTGTGGGCGCCAGTCCCAGCAATAAACCCAGCGCTGATCAGCTGAAAAGCCCCATGATGGACATGTAAGTATGGAGTATGAGACTAAAAAGCACGTCCCTTTAAAAATCTATATTTACAGCTTTATGAAAGTGGGAAACAGTCCGAAGGAGGCTGAGACACATCAAGGTTCATGGCGGCAGGCCATACTCAATAGCGTAGTTACTCCATCCAAGACATTGGACAGTGAAGCGCCCACCGAATTTCTGTCGCCCATGCGCAAACGTGAGACTAATCTACAACAATATTCACTTTTCAATCTAGTACTTAAAATATTTTGCAGCTGTCAATCGTGGCAAGCGCGAGGCGGCCGAGCTGCGAGAGCTGTGGCGCACGGCTATTAGACAAACCATTATGTTGAATCGCATGGAGACGGAGAATGCCATGCTACAGGCGCGTCAGAATGAGAACGAGCTAAAACGCATCAAGCTGGACTACGAGGAGATTGTGCCAATCGACAAGCAACTGATCGAACGCTGGGAGCAAATCATTGAACGCAACTCCATGCAAATTGGCAACAAGAAAGATCCTAAAGTGCTGCGTCATGCCATACGTACTGGAGTACCGCGCTCCAAGCGCGGAGATGTTTGGACCTTTCTGGCCGAGCAGTATTCAATGAACACAGCGCCGGTGGACACGAAAAAATTTCCCAACTACAACACACCGTATCATACGCTGCTCAAGCAATTGACCGAGCATCAGCATGCGATATTCATTGATCTCGGACGCACTTTTCCCAATCATCAGTTCTACAAGGATCCACTTGGGCTTGGTCAATTGTCGCTGTTCAATCTGCTTAAAGCCTACTCCATACTCGATCCAGAGCTGGGCTACTGCCAAGGTCTGGGCTTTATTTGTGGAGTGCTTTTGCTACATGTGGGTAGATCCTTGGTGAAGTCTTCTACTTAAATATACTAATATTTACTCTTGCCTTTCAGTGCGATGAAGCCAGCGCGTTTCAGTTACTAAAGCATCTCATGTTCTGTCGCAACATGCGCACTAAATATCTGCCGGATATGAAAAAGTTCCAGTTGCAGCTGTATCAGCTCTCTCGCCTGGTCAAGGACCATCTGCCCGATCTGTATATGTGGCTGGATCAGAACGATGTCTCGCCTACTTTATATGCAGCACCGTGGATCCTTACCGTATTCAGTTCACAGTTTCCATTGGGCTTTGTAGCGCGTGTTTTTGATTTGGTTTTTCTTGAGTCCTCTGATGTAATTTTTAAGTTTGCTATTGCGTTACTCTCAGTGCATAACCAACAGCTTCTGGCACGCAATAACTTCGAGGAGATAATGGACTATTTGAAATCGATAGTGCCCAAAATTGAGTTGAACTGCATGGAGAAAATCATGAAGCTGGTTTTTTCACTGGACATTGGCAAACAACTGGCCGAGTACAATGTGGAATACAATGTGTTGCAAGAGGAAATAACTACGACAAACCATCATCTGGAAATGTTGAACAGAGAGAAGTCACACAATACACATCTTGAGCAACAGCTGCAGGTGATGCCTAGAAATGATACTTATATTATACGTATATTTATATATAATAATCCCTTTTGTACATTCAGTTTGCTCAATCTTCTATTGCACAGTTGGAGATGACACGGTCATCACAGCAAACACAAATATCGACATTACAAGTACAGGTACAGTCTCTGGAACTGACAATACAAACCCTCGGTCGATATATTGGACAACTAGTCGATTACAATCCTGACTTGGAACTGCCCAACGATGTGAGACGAATGCTGCAACAATTGGATGATCTGGAGCGACAACGACGCAAGCCCATCTTTGCCGAGCGTAAAATTGGAAAATCCGTTTCGGTTAACAGTCACTTGGGGTTTCCACTAAAGGTGCTCGAAGAGCTGAGCGAAAAAGACGAACATGGTTCGCCACAAAAGCAGAAGAAGGAGAAGACACCTTTTTTTGAGCAACTTCGCCACCAGCAACAGCAACTGCAACAACTGCGCAATACCCACACCAATGGCCATCCCGAGATCCATCCTAACTCTGTTTCGCCGACACCACCAACACGTCCCAATCGTCTTTTGGACAATACTAGCGCAAGAACCGTAATGCAAACGAAACTAGATGAGTTAAAGCTGCCGGAGCAAGTCGATAAGTTTGTTGCTAATATAAAAAGCCCATTAGAGGTGGACTCGGGCGTTGGCACACCACTGAGTCCGCCTAGTACCTCAAGTAGTAACAGCAGCGGCGGCAGCATATTTAGTCGTATGGGCTACAAAACAACACCCACAGTGCTTTCGCCGCTAGCCACGCGGCAGAGCTATGGTGGTGCCTCCATTGCAATAACTACAGCTCCAACGGTGGCACCACTAGAACAAATCTTAACCACAAGTGTTGCCATGGGTCTACCGGAACCTGAGCCGGGAATGCATCCACTTAGTATGGTGGGCGGCGATGTTAATGTTCGCTTCAAGGGCACAACACAGCTCAAGTCCATACGGCCCGTACACCATATGCGTGCCATTACTTTGGCTGGCGTGCCACCGAGCAGCGCGGATCCAACGGTGGAACTGGAGATACCCGCAACCGGCCCCACTGCAGCGGCCACCGGTCGCAGCTAACGGTTCTGATTCATTGACAAGATGCTGCGTAGCCTCTACCGGGCATCTATCCCAAAGCAGTTTTTGATGCCTCAAAATAAAAAAACAAAAGAAACAACCTCAGTTGCGGCTTAGATGCAATACAAAAACCAAAATACAAAAGATTTCATTATTTTGCAAGTTTCGCACAAATTGTTCTCCCATACATAAATGTGTAATGGATATATCGCTCCCGAACTTACCTAAACGTTTATATTCTATATATACATACCTATATATACTAGTACTTATACATGGAGTTGTATAAATGATTTAGCAACAGCCATTGTGTACAATAACCATTATATATAAATTTTGGCTAAATTTGAAATAAATTTGATTGTAAACCAAATCGATGCTTAGGCCCCATATATCATAATATGGATGGATATAAGCCTTTTGCTTAGTAGTCTCCTAGTCTTTATATTTGTGTTTAAGTTTTTTAAATTTATATTTACTTAACTTGTGTCGAGTTTAACTAGCTTTACCTGTTGATATTTAATGATGCTTTAGTTTTAATCAATTAGTTATTACAGTTTCGCTTAAATTTTTATATAAAAAATAAACACTTGTTTCTATATTGTTTGCATTGATTGATTGCATTGATTAACATGAAAATCCCGAAAGTCCAACAGCATATGTATGTGCTTGCAATATAAATTTCCAATTTTCATCTTGGTCTTTGACTACATTGATTATTTATGTTTACTCTCTTATATGCGCATATAAGAGCAAATTTAACTGATTCTATATATGAAAAAAAGCTTCATTGATAAGTAAGTTGCTTAGCTGAACGTTTTTTATATAGAACGTCCGAAGTTCTTGTGTAGCTAATTTTGTGTTTAGCCAATGAGCTAAAGAAAACAAACAGTAATAAATGAATTAACCATTGTTAATCGGTACGCAAAATGTTTTTTTATGTAGTAGTAGTAGATATACTTGTGTATTCCAACATTTCACTGATACTTAAGCTCAGAGCTTAGATACGCCCGCAAAAAGGAAAATACTTTATCTGGTATAACAAAACTGCTATTAGTTAAGGTGATATAGATCTGAGCTTTCATGATCATTGGTGGTGAAGAAAATCGGGTAAAATGTATCTCCCACATTTTGTGAGCAAGCATGCAAAATTTAGCAAGGAAGTTATTGGTTAGATCCTCTACGAAATTTGGACGTGTGGATGATATATTTACGCCTATAGATAGATGGCGAACTGCATAGAAATCATTGAGTTACTGAGACATGCCTCTTTAGAGGCGTGGCTTATAGAAAATACCCTGAATCTTTCACATTATTGGAGCCTAAGTTTCGATATTTTACACATACCTTAGTGCATACGGATTGGCTAATCCTATATATATATTATATTCTTGACTTACTTTTTACCTCCTTTCTCCTTTATTGCTCTACCAATTCTTGGGAGCGTGGAAAATCGGAAAAAGCTTTTTTAGAGCTAGTAGCGTTTAGGCTGCGAATAGTATTATAGTATCGAAATTAAAAGATTTTTAAATTTGTTTATAATTAAATTAATTTAATATACTGTTTGTTTTCATTTTTAATTTTTAATTTACTTTAATTTTTTTTTAATATATCACAAAACTATGTATTGTATTTTATAGATTTCGAACAGTCTCATTAGTTCGAATAGCTATAACTTAAAATATTTTGTATACATTGATTTTGAAGACAAACATTTTTTAGTCTTAGGAAAACATCACAGTTATTAGTTAAACTAAATTCATTTTTTTTATTTTTTCTCTTACTTTAAAAAGCCTAGATCTTGATACTATAAAAAAAAAACAAAAATTATCAAAAGCGAATTCAGTAACATTTTCTTGCAGCTTACGAGCTCGTCAAAATGTAGCTGAGTTGGCTTTTGTAGGGGGACTGGAAATAAACAACATCCTAGCTATGCATCAATAATTATTTGGAACCTTTGGCCTGAAAACCCTGCTTAAAGCCTGGCTAATCCCTCAATTAACCTATTCAATCAGTCTCCTATGTAACTAACTCTATCTACACATAATTTAATATAAAATCTATGGGCTGCTAGAGTAAACAGCAACTTACTCTTTGTACTCTGGCTTAATGGTAAACTCGCTCTTTGGCTGATGCACGCCCGCTGCTGCTGCGGCAGCCGCAGCGCCGAAGGCTGCCAAATTGTTGAATATGGATGGATTTTGTGGCACAGCCAACATATTGGAAGCCACGGCACCTGGATACAGGTTCTGATAGAAAAGCGGATTCTGCAGTTGGAAAAGCGCCATCAAATGCGTTAGCTGGAAATTTGGAACCGTAGCATCTGTGGCAGCAGCTGTTAAGCTGGGCATCGAATTAGGAAAGAGCGCACTGCTTAGCATATTACTGTTGGCTTGAGACTGAGACGGAACTGTGGGAGTCTGCTGCGCCGGATTGTTGTCATCGTCATCCAGTTTAACTCGCTTGACCTCTGACTGTTGAGCATCTGCAGGCAGTTCCTATATAAAAGTTAAGAAAGTTCCGAAATAAATCAATGCATTAGTAACTAGGTACTATGAAGCTAAACTAGACTAAACTAAGCTTACAATTTTCTTGGGCGGCCGACCACGTTTGCGTGCTAAAAAGTGACCTGCGGATAGCGAGGACAGCGGCGTCGAAGTGGAACTATTGCTGTTCGCATAGACGGGCTGATTGACGTTACCACTGGCCGTTATGGGGGTAACTTCCAACGAGCTTACGTCCTCCAATGTATCATCCTGTTTGTTTTTAAGCTGCTGATAGGTCTGTTCACCGTCCTGGCGATCATGTTTCCGCTTGTGACTAATCATTTGACTGCTCGAGTGTAAGATATAGTTACAGCTCTCACGCACGCAATGAATGTGATTGCAGATCGTGGAGAACTTGCAAGACTCAAAAGGACACTGTTCAGTTTTGAGTATCTTCTTGAAGCCATCCTGCGTAAGTTGGTAATCTTTCAAATGATACGTCTTGTGCTTGTCTTTTGGAGGAGAACAAAATATAGAATATATATACATAACTTGTAGATCTTTTGTCCTGTTAAAAAAAAAACTCTTACCCATATCAGCTTTATTCTTGAAGGTGTGGTTACAGCCCTCGCGACAGCAATGATAGTGTGATATTTTTTTGCCATAGAATGGGCAATTCTCGATGCGACAATTTTCGTGGGCTCGAAATCGCCGAAAGCCTTCATTTACAATCTCAGAGTCCTTGCGATGGAAGTTGGAATGCATCTGCACATCGCTGGTACTCACATAAACCTTGGGGCAGTGCTCGTAGACGCAATGGTAGTGCGTCTGCTTCCAATTGTAGACGCATCCTTCGCCATAAGTGGGAGCACAGTCGTCTGCGGAGGAAAACCGTGCAAAGCCCAGCTTGAAGCTCTCTTTGCGCTTCTTGTGCCACTTCAGATGCCGTATAATGTCATCCTTCTTGCTGAGAATTTTTCCCTGGCAGGGTTCATCGTAACAGTGGAAATGATCACGCAGTGTCTCTTGCCGACAGAGCGTATTCTCACATTCCAGATACGAGGATACCTTGCGAAGATTCTTAAGAATCTCCTCATTCTGCAGAAAGGCATCTAGGCTGCTGGCTGTAGACAGACTGACAATACCCCTGCCCTGATCACTTGACGGCGGCGGCGTCAGCATAGAATTGTTCTGTGCCAGAGGCGTGTTTAATGTGCTCTCATTGTCGATGCTGGTGACGACATTGTAGGAAGAGTCCGCTGGTTGCTTAACGGGTGTGTACTGAATTACATTGGAAAAAAAAGAATTATTAAAAAATCATAATATTTCTAAAAAATCAGACTGCTTGGTGTCAATGCCCAGTAGCGAGAGGCAGCTGCAGGGTTAAGGAGCCCACGCGTTGCCCACACAGCTGCTGTTTTCCTTGGAATCGAGTTGTTGATGTTTATATTATATAAGCAAATTGCTACAAAGTTTATGCTCTTTATTTTTCGAAAAAAAAGCACATGAGTATGTACTGCTTCCCTTTTTGGAGAACTATGCTTGAGTTACAGACAGCGTGGGAGTTTATCCCAAACACACAAATAAGTACATTATGAGACGAAGCAAAAAAATAGAAATGCATATACGACTTTCATATATATGTTGTGTTTCTATAGATACTCTAAAATATTATGGCCGAATCCGTATAAAAATTAAGAAAATTCATGCTTTCTAAAAGATTATGGACAGCTTACAAAATTTAAATAGTGTAATTCACAGTAGAATTAGTCGTAACAGTTATAAATATATTGACTATAATAAAATAAATAGATAAAGTTGACTTAGCATTTGAAGTAGCAGTTGTAATAATTGTCGTTAAGTATATTAGTATATTATTAACAGAATTTTTATATAGTAGTAGTTAAGTGCTTATAAATAGAAGTAGTAAAAGTACATTTAATAAAGTTTAATAAATGTAAATATCAGCGTTTAACTAACAATAGTATTAGGCTGAATTTATTAGTAATATTAATAGTATTTTGAAATTTTTTTAGACGAAGTAGGTTGTTTAAGTAGAAATAGTAGTAGTAAACTTGGACATTAAATTAGTTTTAATATTAGATGAAAAAGTAGATTAATTAGTAGCACCATTGGTTAGATAATAGCAGACTTGGTAAATTAGCAAATGAATAATATTTAAGCCTGAAGAAGCACATTTAAAACTAAACAATAATAAAAAAGTTACTAAATATTTGAACTAAGACCTAGTTGGTCGAAGTATCCAAACTTAATTTTGATTTCTTACATTACTAAAAATTAAAACTTGTATAAACAATTCGCATATTATGATAATTCATAAACTTTAACTTTTAGGAGAAAACTTACCATGCTGGATGAGCCGTTGCTATCGGTGGTGTTCGTACTCTCCAGCGGCAACAGGAGCAACTTTTCGGTGCTGGCATTTTTGCTGGGCAAGCCCGAAGAGTTACAGCTGTTCAAGCTTGACAGTGGCTTGTCATCCTCATCTTCGAAATCCTGCTCATATTTGACGTTGACTGCCGAAAGGACATTAGTAGCTGTTACTCCTGTTGTTGCACGTGTGACTGCTGCTGCTACATCATTTGGCGTCGATGTCACTGTGGAGGATTGCAAAAAGTTATTGGTAAACTGATCACTTTTCAAAGGGCTGGGTGTATTGGGAGTTAGTAAAAGATTTGTTGTTGCATTTGTCAGCAAATGTTGCTGCTGCTGTTGCTGTTGTTGTTGTTGTTGTTGTTGCAACATATATTGTGTTAGTGGAGGTAAGGAGAGAGGTAAAGAGCTTAGCAACATTTGCGGCAACTGGTGAACAAAACTTGGGTTTGTGTTTGTGTTGTTGTTAGGTGTTGACGGTGTTGTTAGCGTTGAAGCTTGTTGCTCATATTGTTGTTGAGATAATGCATTCAAATTACTATTGGGACTACAACTACGGCTACTACTACAGTTCGAGTTTTGCGAGTTTGTTCGTTTTTGCGTTCTTGTCTTTTGTTGCTGTTGTTGTTCTTGGGGTTGTTGCTGGCAAGTGCTGCTGCTGATATCCTCTTTCTGTGTATATGTTAAGCTGGACAGTTGTTGTTGTTGCAGTGGCTGCTGTTGCTGTTGCTGTAGTAGTTGTTGTTGCTGTTGCTGTTGTTGCAACAAGTTCATCATATAAAGCTGCATCATAAACTCCATTTGATTGGACATTTTGCTATCACTTTTATATAGATAACACAGCACAGAATATAATTGATTTTTTTTCTTAAAAAATTGATCGTTCAGAAAGTTTTTCGCGATTTTTCATAGCACACTCTTTAGACGCTAATCACAATTTGAGATTCACTTTTCTAGTGATACTTGAAGTTCAGCTGCACAGCGCAAACTGTTTCAACTCTTCCGCGACAGCCAGCTAATATAGCAAAAATTGTGTAATAGTTCGCAGCAACAACCCTCTCTCAATTGTCTTAAAAAACACGATGCGATACTCTTAAAAAACTGATCTACAACTCTCTCTCTCTCTCTCTGGCTTAGCACTCTCTTAAAAAACGAGAGACACTAAAAAGATGCCCATATCGTGGTGGTGGTTAAGAGCGGGCCACCCTTAGTATATATCGGGCTCTGTTATATGAAAATGATGTGGAAAATGACCCGCGGTCGTTGCCCAACTTGTTTGGAGTTTGTCGCTGTTATTTGCTGTCGACCAATAAAATGCCAGCATTCATGTAAATTTTCAAAAAAAAAACTAGTTTTTTAGGTAAAAATATGTCACTGCAAGCACCAACGGTCGTTGAGGAATTTCCCCTCTTCAGAAATGTAAAAGAATGCGATAAAAGAAGAAAATTGGTTGGTTGATTTTGAAATAGAACAAATCGAAGTGGGTACAGTAAAGCAAGATGCACTGAAAAAGCAACGTAAACAATATTACATTTCTTTTACATAAATTCAATAATGTGAGGACTTCAATAAAAATAGCTCAAATTGCCTAATTATTCAAATTATTTGTTTATATTTTTTAATTTTCTTCGATAAAGTATTTAAGGTTTTATGCATAAGGTATTATGCATCTATATATAAGGTGGTAATATTTATTGATTATTACGGATACATAATACCTTATGCATTAAACCTTATATATTTTAACAAAAAAATTAAAAATAATTTCCGCCTTTTCTATCTGTGAAGATTAGAATACAAAAATAAAATATTACAGTACATCCATAAGGCACACATTGCAAATTCCATTTCCCGCTTAATTTTTTTCTCACAGTTTCATAACAATTTTAAACAGCCTTTCGAATTTCCATAGATACAATAAAATTATGGCATCTTAGCTTATTTCCCAAAACCTTAATTAAATAGTTTTCACAATTCGATGAAATTTTTGAAACTGATCTCAAAAAAGCGCGCGCAGCTATGAGTACAGCTGCGATTCGCATAGATTCGCTATTCAAATGTAAAAATTACAAACGAACAAAAAAATCTGCATTACAATTAACAAAAAAACATTATTAAAATGCCAAAAGTTTTCATAAGCAACGGCAAAAAAATTTGCATATAAAAAAACTTTGCGAAAATGCGAAACAAGAGTAAACCGTTAAAAAGGTAGCAGAAGGACGCGACATGTAACATCCGTTGTGCATGAGCACAGAGAATCCTTTTCAATGTAATTTGCATAAATTATTGCCAAAATTTTGCGCAGTCGCAACGCTCTTGCCTCTGGCGAGAGCGGGCGAACAAACAGCAGACCCGGCAAAGCCAGAAACAAGAAATGGATCAATACAAGCCAGCTCTCAGTGTTATGCAAATCACCTGTGTCGAACGAGGAGGAGGGTTACCATAACTTCATCATCCTGCGCACGCGCGTCGTGTGAAAATTTATGCAAATTAGTAAAATAGGAATGAATGGAAAAACTGTGGAAATCCCTTGCCGTACAAATCGATTGGCGAAGGGCGGAAATCGAACTACAAACACCGATTGATTTCGTATAGATTGAATTTGAATAGGATATATTTTCTGAAATGGTTGGTCGCTTAGTTGATGAGTTGAGATTGAAGTCGACTTCCGAATCGAATATAGGAAATGCCAAGTGGCCGGTCCTTATTTAAAAAGGTTTCCACGAGAAATCGTAGCTATGTAGCTCGAGAAAATTTACGTTCAAAACGCAGCCTCAACGTATAATATATCTGATCAGAGTAAAAAGCTAATATAATTGAATCCAGATTTCAGTTTTGGTTTCCATTTAAGATTTACATATGGCACATATGGCACAGAGTACCATTTTCAGTGTACCACTTTCAGTTAAAAATGTTCCTGTTCTGTTATTTATTTTGAATTATATATTGTATCTCTTTTGCTCAAAACGCAATCATTATTAGTAAAGTAAGGAGTGAAAAGCATGTTAAAACTACAAATATATATATATATTTATATTTACATATATATACGTGAGAAAAATTATTTTTTTCCTAACTACGACAATTGCCTGTAGCATATTATGTCATTTGCTCAGAATTTATGCTCAAATTTAAACGAAAATCGTTTGAATATTCAATCGGAGGGGCGCATCATGGGCTTGGGACGCACTTAAGACCTCGGAGATAAATTATCCTAAATGCATCGATATTTTGATAATTTTCTTTATTTTTGTGGTCCTTTGTTTTGGGATAGATTTACCCACAGATTTATTGCCTCAGGGGTAAAAACCCCTGAAAATAGATATAAGGATCTCAATTTCAATATAGCCGTTGGCATTTGTGCCAATTTTTGCATGAATATGATTTCGTTCATAAATGCCTGCTGAAATTGTGAATGTCAGTAAGATCTTCATTTCGTTAAAAGGGCACGCGTGCAACTCGGACAACAATCAAGACCAGCAGCGTAAAATTTGAGGATTATCTCTAAGGAGTGGATTGAACATTAAGGGATGAGTCAGGTAACCGCTGCTTGACCAATGGTCAGCGCGTGTGAATGCCCTCAAAGAAAATTAGGCGCACGCGTCGCCTATTATTACTGGTCAAGCTATCGAACAGGTTTTTGGAAGGGTGCGAAAATTGTATTTATTGCGGTCATCCTTTGATCGCGTGGCAGAATGATACTGAATGATTAAAACTCCTTAAGTAGCGCAAATTCTGCTGTTTTGGTGCATATGCCAATGCTCGACAATTTTTGTAACGGTTATTTAAATATAAGTTGAAGATGAAATGAATAAAACTTGAGAAAAAGATTTCCCATCTACTCTATGGTCGCTGGGCAAAACACAATGAAGCGAAAGCTGCAATTTCATTCGCTTTTGCGCATCCTCTTTCGACAACAAAAGGGTTTAGGGGTCGTTTAAAAGGACGGTTTTCTTTCGTAAAAACCGGACCGATGAAAGTAATCTCACACTGAAGAACCGGTTTTAACGCGGCATTAATTTTTCGAAAGGACAAAGTTAAAAAAGGTCGAGCCCTTTGAGTAATATTGCATATGGCGGTCCATTGCTGGATCTGGTCAACATGAAAATATAAAAGCGACAACAGCATCGCCTCTCTGTGTTAGAAGAGCTAGATGATGGGTCCTGACAGATGTTTCTCTCCTTCTCCTGGGGTGGCAACTGAGCATAAATTGTTGATTTTCTTGCCCGCCAAAAACCTTAGGGCAATGGTCATGGCTTCCAATTATCTTGACTTGTAATATTCATGACAGCATGTCCTACAATGTGCTACTTAATTTCATACATCTTTCCCAGAGATCAGCCATTTTGCTGAGGCTAAACTTTAACCCATACATGTCCAAAATTAACGAATATTTCTCTAAATATTCGGAGGGCAATATTTTTGAGTTACACTCCAAAAGTGGATGGTCAAAATAATATCAAATAGTCTCAAAATATAGTAACAATTCTAAAAAAACGCGTACTTATTAAATGCTACAAGTTTTGAGGAAGTCGCGTGCTGTGCAACAAGTTAAACTGACCGACACACTGACCAACCCTTCTCTTGCCCTCTTGGTCAGTAACCGGCTCATCTCGTAACTTAACTGGTTTCTAAGCCTTGACCATTAAATGGTTTAATGACTCTGGCGCGTGTCCATTGTCGTATTGGTCACTTAGATGATCATCGTATTGCATACCTCCCTTACGTATACGAAAGTAAGATGGGCTACTTTTCGCACATTAACATTACGATTTATGATGCCGTAAACAACATCCCTAAGCAATCACAATTGGGACAACAAAAGATTCCATTAGCCATCCCCGTGCTTATTGATGATATTCTCAAATGTTTATGCAAAGCAACACCCAATCTATTCGTCAAGGGTCAACGACATTGACCAAACAAAGTGCTCTAAGAATGGTATAGCTTAACAAATCTATAAATGCCAACGAATATATATAAATATCACCTCGAGCTGAACAATCTCTCTTTTATTTTCTGAGGTAAAAGTTGAAAGATTTAGTTGAGGCAATAAATCTGCGGCCAAACGCATCCCAAAACAAAAGATGACAAAAAAAGAAGAAAATGTTCAAATATCAATGCATTTAGGATAATTTATCCAAGTACCTAAGGGTGTCCCAAGCCCACTTCCTCATGAAGCGACCCTCCGCTTGAATATTCAAAAGATTTTTGCTTAAGATGTAAAATAAATTGTGAGAAGTGGACTAAAGATGCCCCAGGCTATTGTCATAATTAGGAAAACGAAGTCCCATCACTTTTCTCACGTTTATCTATATATATATATATATATATATATATATATATATATATATATATATATATATATATATATATATATATATATATATATATATATATATATATATATATATATATATATATATATATATATATACATATATATTTGTTTATACATATAAATACATATGTATATCCATTTAAACATAAAAAGATTTGATAGCTTTTTAAATTGTATTTATTTTTACTATTTTCATTTAAAAACACTGATTCGAGTACACGGATCACTTTGTGTGGGGTATATATATTCACTCCTTTCTTTACTAATTAAAACACTTCATCCAATTTTACCGTCAGATGAGTCCCCAATGTAATGCTAATATCAACCCTATCCAGGAACACATATTTGAAGATCCTGGAATAATAATTGTCGCTTTACTACTTGGATTGACATACAAAAGCCAAAACACAAAAGCTTTCCATTTGGAAATATTTGTAACTGAATATGGAAAACTCTCTCCCTCTCTCTGTCTCTATCATATGCAAATTTACAGGGCACTGAAGTAAAATAACAAATGGAAACACACGGAAATACAAATTAAAACATTGCTGTGCTATATTCA